AAATGAAAAAACAACACTTTGACTCTAGTATTATGAACTCTAAATGACTTCAACAATTTTTTTGAATACCAAGTTTGTTCAACTCATCAAGATCTTTTTTTGAAATTGTCAACTTTCCATTTGAGATAGTTTGGACGGTTCAAATTTTGATTTTAGAACTAGACAAACTAGTTTTCGGAACCCTAGATTGTCTCAAATTGAAAAGTTTTGAATACCAAATTTGTTCATCTCATCAAGATATACAATCCTTATATAGGCCATTTTTTCATTTGAGAAAGTTTGAATAAAATATAGTTCAAATTTCACAAGTGTGTGACATAGTTTCAAAAAGTCTATATGAGATTCAAGAACTCCATTTATCCTCCCCAGTGGGAGTGTCATCTAAGTTTCATTCGCATTTAATAATCTGCCACGTAGATATTTTTAATGATGTGGCACCGTATTAAAAAAGAGAGAGAAGAAATGAGTTTTATGGGGATGAAACTCCCTTGCCACAATTACTAACTCGCAATGAGTTATGAAATTAAATGTTTATGAAACTACAGAATAAAACTATGCATTGAGAGTAATTGTTTCATTGAAATTTCATTTTATTTTGTTTGATGTGGCATTCTTGGAAACAATGCTATAAAATTCTCCACTGAGACTGGTCTTAGGGCACTCCCAATGCTAAAAAATCATCGTCGTTTCCATAGCATCAAGACTTCACCATTGGAAACTATTCTTCCCAATGCAAGTTTGCACAAGTAGTTTCCATGGAGAAAGAAATTTAATGAATACTTGTATGCAACACAAACAAACAAGGATCGAATGTGCCAAACATTATGTAGCCATGTTGGTATTTGAACTGATCAACTGCATCATGGAAGCAATTGTGCAAAGATACGTCATAGAATCTAGCGAGCGACATGGAGGAGATGAACAAGATTTATAGGCCCCGTTTGGCAGAGCTCCCAGAGCTGATTCTCTGCTGAATCTAGCAGGAGCTCTGCCAAACAGTTTTTCAGAGAGAAGTGATTCTCTGCCGATTCCGTGAAGTGATTCTCTGAAATGAACTAGGAGGCTGAGAGCTGAAAAAAGTAGCTTCCCCTGATTATGTGAAGTGATTCTCCATCATGATTTCAAGAGTTTGTGCTAAAGAATTAAAGAGAATCTATTTCAGCCACAGAATCACTTCTATCAGAGAATCAACTTCCATAGAGAATCAGAATCAGATGGAGCTCTAGCAAACTGGCCCATAAACTTCTGGCAACATTGCGCAGTCATTCAATAATTATTCAAATTCAAAAACTTCAACATCCGTGTCCACCGTGCCGCTGAACGGAGCCACCGCTACATGAACGGCCTCCTCGCCGAGGTCTTGCTGCCCACTGCATCCACGCTACGAGATGGCACTGGTGGCCGCACGAGTCGTTGCTTCACCAGAGAGGCACCAGGAGACGCGCACCCGGGATGGTCCATAGGAGCAGGGCCGTGCTCATCGGCGTCGCGGCCACGCTGCTCGCGGTGGCGGGCATGCCGACGAGCGAGGTCCGTGGTGGTGCGTGAGGCCTGAGTTGCGCCGGCGAGCGAGGTCCACGGAGGCGTGAGGGAGGCTCCGCGGCGGTGCAAGGACCCGTGGAAGCGCGCGAGGAAGGCTCCACGGCGGCGGCGCGCCGACGAGCGAGGTCCACAGCGAGCCAACAGGCTTGTTGTGCGGAAGGCTTCGCACATGGGATCCTCCATCGCCGATGGAAACCATACCCTTCTCTCCCAACGCAGCCTCGGATCGATTCGACTGCATCATTGCGCGTGAAGACGCCGCTCTAAGATAAAAACTGTTTCTTTGTTTTCTGCTCTCTCTTCGCAAAAAAAAGTTAGGTGCCAAATCAGCAAAACGTCTACATGGCAAAGCAATTAATAGGGATAGAAAGTATGGTAGTTTCTGCGTTGGAAGTGCCCTCAGTGAACCATCACATAGGATATTCTATACAAAAATTAGATTTTTTTTGGAATAATATTATTTAAATAAATAATTGTAGATTTAGGTGTTACTTTTAACAAATAGCAAATCTAGCATCTTATCCGCAATTGCACAGCCGATGCGGGAGCTATCGGCCTCTCAGGAGCCAATAAGCTGACGTGGCAGCTGGCACGCCGATTGGGCCTATCGGCTCATGGTATGCCGACAAGGCTTCATCCCCTATGGACATCTTCCCATCTGACTTGTCTTGTCTTTTTTCAACTCATTCAAATCAATTTGCATGCCGACTTGTTTATCCTATTGCCACTAATCAAAATCCCAAGAGGCTTATTCCACGGATATGTTATTCTAATGTGATGTATATGTATTATTCTTAATCAAGGACGATGCGTTGAAAATTGAAGCATGGCAAATCAGTACATTTTATTTTTCTTTTATCGATCTAGAATAATATTACGTTGATCTCAAAACATCTTTAAACTTTTTAAGTAGATGTTAAAAATTCTAGAAAAAATAGTATAACGTTGTGGTTAGAAAAGTAGTATTTTATCTACTAATTTAGAGTAAGGATCGACTAAGGATAATTGTTAGTCAGAGTTAAAAATTAACTAGCTGGTTAGATTTCTTCTAGTGAAATCTGTCCACCTGAGTAAGTCCTCAAATTAAGTTGAGTGCTCATAATTTTCTGGATTTATTTAAGAATTTAACGATGTTATTATTTCAGCGGTTGAGTGAAACGGAGAGCTCCTGGATTGCCAGCCCACCCCCGCTACCTGCAAAGGCTGCAAGCACGCTCGAACCAGGATTAATCTTGTCCTAGATTGTTAACCAAGCAAGTTTCACGCATCGACCATTTAATATATGCCGTGGTTACGAACCCACAACACAGGTGACCCATATCGTTGAGGCCCTAAATGATGAATTATCCGATTGTATCATTTAAACTATTAAAAATTATCTAAACATAATCGAGTCAAACATGGTTAAATGAGCTAAGAGACCTTTTAATTTACTATTTATTTTATAGAAGGATTATAACTACCATATTTGGAACTTGACGAAGGTATCGGCTCAAGCAATACAGGGGCGCTGATGACTAGTTGCCTAGGGTCACTGTGAACTTGGGTTCAGATACTGATAGGGGGCTCCCCACCCCTCATTATATAGTCTAGGGGTGAAGTTATAGATAGAGTCCCAATCAGTGCATAAATAGCTTAACAAAAGTTCAAATTATCTTTCAAGACTGCAAAAGTTATTATATTTGTCAGCTCTGAATTTTTTACATCTTTTCTTTAGAATTACATAGTACAATGTAGTCGCTCACAATGCACGCACACTCACCCCTATGAACACATGCACGTAAACCCTAACCCTATGAGCTTCTTCGAAGACTGACCGACAAAACCTCGAGATCGACGAAGTTACCACAGGTGCCTCGCTGTCGACTGGCCAACAAATTCTCGGATTGACAAAGTTACCATATGCGTCTCGCTGACGATGGAACACGTTGCCTACCACTGAAAGCGCAACGCCGTTAAATTATAGAATATTCTCTCCCACGAGAAGTCGAACCTTAAACCAGCGCAACGCCGTTAAATTCTGGAATATTTGTTCCCATGGAAAATCGAAGCCTGGACCTCATCAGGTGCTACCGAGGCTCTTGTAACTAGGGATGAAAACGGTACGGAAATATTCCGAACCGACCGCTTTCGTTTTCTATATTATGATACCGTTTTCTATATTATGATATTGTTTCCGAATTTTGCCAAACATAAAAATTTGTCATTTTCAATTGGTTTTGCAACCATTTTCAACCATTTATTGTACTCTCTAATTACTAAAATGTAGAAATATCCCGAACCGACCACTTTCGTTTTCTATATTGTAATACCGTTTCCGACCGTTTTCCTCCCTACTTGTAACCACCAAGCTACGTTCCCTTTGTTGCGATTTTTACATCTTATTTGAAAACCTATAAAAGGTCCGAAAACCTACAAAAGGTCCATAAGTTCTTTTGTTTGAGGTCAACAGAAAAAGATTCCTATAAAAAAAACCATGTGAGAATTGAAATGTAATTCTCAATTTTTTATTTATATACTTTGTCCATGGTACGAGACTTCAAGTCACTTTTAGCATTAGCTCTACCGTGTGAAGTTGTGTGGACCATTCCTAATCCTCCGTCAAGTAAAAAAAAAACATTTTCAATTGTATACACCATGTTATCGGACTAGTAGCCGATAGGATCCAGTCGGCAATACAGTAACCGATAGGAGCCTCGCACTTAACAGAAGAGAGCAGTGGTATCCTACGTGAAAACAAATGGGCTTATACGCAGTCGACAAGTACTAGTTGGCACTGAAACGTCGGCCTAGTCCCTGTCGGCTTTCAGTAAGCCGATAGGCATCTATTTATGCAATTTAGGTATTTTGCCATCTAATTTTGTAGTTTTTAATAAAAAACAATATTATAGTACGATAAAATATTACAAAAATTTTGTAATTTTTTTTAAAAAAAAGAAAAATCTGAAGAAGTGATACTCTGTTTTGCTCTGTTCTACTCTGTTTCACTGTATGAGCCGTGTTGCAGTCTCGCAGACCAGTGATTTTGGCCTGGGAATGGGAGGGAGCAGCTGAAACCTGCACATAAAACGACAGCAAGGACAGAAATAGATGACGCAGCCAAAACAAAACAAAGGAGGCATGCATCTTGGCTTGGCACGTTAATCTAGCTCATATTGGTGTATGTTGTATTTGGCCCCTTGGGCCATGCCAGGCCCTGACCTCCTCTAAACAGCCCATTCAATCGTTTGCCCACAGATTGTGGACCGGTCCATCGGAATTCCCATCAGCCTACGATCATTCAGAATCGAAGGGGAAGGGGTATGGCGACAAAGGACGGGAGGAGCTGGGTTCGCAAATCGCACCGGAGAAAAGGAACACGTACACACTAAAGTCACTGTGTTGCCGTTTTGAAGACGGGGGCAGAAGAACCACAGCCACACAGCATCCAGGTGAGGTCAAGTCAAGAACGTAGCGAAATGGCGTTGGCAATAATGCACACTGTCATAAGGTTATAGAGCTGCAGTAGGTAGCAGCTGCATCAGCTTGGAGCCTTGAACCTGCAGCGAAAAAGGCCCATAGCCGGCTACCTGGCGGGGAGCATGGAGATCGAGGGTCTCATCCTCATCCACCGAGAGCGGCGGTGGCGATTCCGTTCACCAGAGGCCGCCGCAGCCCTACTACCTGGCCGATTACATCAACAACAACAACTATGGCATCAGTAGCACCACCACTGCTTCATCAGCTACCTGCACAACCACAGCCAGCAGCAGCAGCGCCTCAGCTCTAGCTGCTCGTGTCCTCCACTCGTTCATGCCCGCTCCCAACACCTCCACGTTGGTCGTGGAAGAAGACGCGGACGAGGAGGTCGGCGGCGAAACGGTCACGGAGCAAGACAAGGCCAAGACACGCGAGCACATGAGGGACCTCATCCATGGATCGGATCCCTTGGACAGGTGGCTCTGGGAGCTGCAGGTCAGCTGGGTTCTCCACCTTGCTCAGCTGGATGCGTCCGCTGGGAGGGCCTTCGTCTCGCGGCGACTCCAGCACACTGCACGCAGCTGGGTCCTAGCTCCGCACGGCATCAGCAGATCCATCCTTAGCTTCACTGGATGGTGTCCTAGTCCTAGCCAGGAGGAGGAAGAAGAAGCTCTACAGCAGCTACAAACCTGCTGGCCACCTACGTCAGAGCTGGTAGGATTTTTTGCAGCAACCTTCTCGCATATGCTCCCTTTTGTTGATGTCGTTGTTGCATTGGAAATCATTGATCCTATTGCCAGCGACGACGACCATCGGATTATTGTTTCTGGCAGTAGGCGTGGTAGGGGTGGAGTGGCATCAGCTCACAGATTCCAGGCACTAGCAGACGTCCGTGACGCTCTTGCCGGTGCCTTGGAACATGTCCAGCTCTGGGACTCGTGGCTCTGTTCCTCAATCCAGCTGCACGCTGAAGCTACAAAGTCAAGCGGTGAGATGAGTAGCCTCTTGCTAGCAAAACTGGACAGGCTGGATGAGGCCATACGGGACATAAGAGACTATGTCAAGACTCAGTTCATGTCCTCGACGGGTGATCGTCACCATGACTCTAGAGCATCAGGACTGGCGGATGACCTATCACCTGGCATTCACAAGGCCACTAAGTCTGCGCTAAGCTGCATCATTGTGTTGTCGACTAGCTACAAACGATCTGCAGTGGATCCTCCTCCTACCATTCATGAAGCACCAGCATCAGTTCGTGTAAATGGTAAGGACGCCCCCGCAGCAACAGGCAATGAGAATACCAGTTCTTCTACCAGCTTGATCATGGTGATGATCCGTTCTCTAGAAGAAAAGCTCACTAGAGTGTCAGAGTCATTTCCAGACCAGAGCCTCAGGTTCCTATTCTTGATCAACAACTTCTACTTTGTCTGGCATCAGCTTCGTACAAATCAGCGGCTTGTGGATGTCCCCATGTATGCCTTGGCTCACAAGATCCATGGTTACATAAACAGTTATATTCAAGCATCTTGGACACCTGTGTTGAAGCCCTTACATGATCGTACACCTTGTTGCTTAACGAGATACTCAGCACAACATAATTTCGAGACAAAGTTTGAGAAGACCTACATCAAGCAAAAGCTCTGGAAGGTTCCAGACCCAGAGCTGAGGGAAGAGCTGCGGGCAGCCATCATCAAGAAAGTCATTCCAGCCTTCACAAAATTCATGGAGGATAATGCTGTCAGTGCCTCAAGAGTCACTCCCAAGGAACTGGAAGAGATGTTGGACGAGCTATTTGAAGGATAAATTAGTGCACCAAACCATACAAGTTATCAGAAGTTTATTTAGTTATTAGTTTTGCTTCCATATATATGTATTCATTGTTTTCATTGTAAAAACAGCCCAAAAATAATGTCGGATCGTGAGTTAGTACAAATACTTTTTTTTATTCAGAGTTAGGCCTTGTTTAGTTCCCAAAAAAATTTCTCAAAAAGTGCTACAGTAGCCATCATATCGAATCTTGTGATACGTGCATGGAGCATTAAATGTAGACGAAAAAAAAAACTAATTGCACAGTTTGATGGGAAATCGTGAGACGAACGTTTTGAGCCTAATTAGTCCATGATCGAACACTAATTGCCAAATAAAAATGAAAGTACTACAATAGCCAAATTTCCAAATTTCGCGGAACTAAACAAGGCCTTAGTACAAATACTAAAGTACCGATGCACGACCGGCCAGTAAAGATTTCTAACAGATCATCCATCGCCATTTTATTTGGTTTTATCAACCGTCTATTGGTTGGTATTTATATTTTGGTTTTATCAACCGTCTATTCGATGTCACTCTCTCTTTTGCTCTGCTCTGCTCTATCTCCTATGTGAACCGTGTTGCAGTCCTACGGACCAGTGATTTTGACCTGGGATCTGGGAATGGGAGGGAGCAGCTGAAACCTGCATGAGAAGAGCAAGGAGGGTGTGTTTTCTTGGGTTTTTTTTTTGTGTGTAGACTGATGATTCTTTTTTAAGAAGCCTGAAGCTGGAACTATTTTTCAGTATTAAAAAAGGAAATAGATAACACAGCCAAAACAATGAACAAATACATGTTGGCTTGACATGTTAATCTGGCCCAAATTAGTGTATGTTGTACTTGGGCCCTTGGCCCAAGCCAGGCCTTGAGCTCCTCTAAACAACACATTCAAAACGTTTGCTCAAAGATTGTGGGCCGGTCAATATCACATTCCCATCAACGCCGTGCCCAAGCCCCAAGGGCACTGTATCTCCGCCTCCTTGTCGGCGAGCGTACTCACCCCTAAGAGCACCTCTGAAGAACTAAGTTGGACCGCAGATCTCGAGATTGACGAAGTCATAACATACGCCTCGCTGTCGACGAGCATGTCGTCTACCACTAAAAGAATAGTGCTATTAAAACTTGAAATAAATCTAGAAAAATACGACCACTCGTGTCAAATCGGGGATATAAACCAGTGCTTGTTTGTTCCCAACATGAGCATTCTCTTCTCGGTGAAATCCTCAGCTTATTTCTTTATATGCTCTATATGCTTGTGGTCACGTGAGGGATTAGTTTTATTGCAAATTTTGCCTTGAAACAGAAGTCTCATCTCTTGCTGCTACTAGGTGCCAAGGTTTATTACTGATTACAACCTGTAATCTTGCTGTTCACAACTTGAAACTTGATCTACCACTCTGGCACGTTCTTGGTCTTGAGTACTTCTGAAACTAGTCTATTCGTCACTGCTCTCCTTCAACATTGCTGTTTGGGCAAACAATGCAAATATACATGTCTAAATGTTTGGTTACTAATTTAAATTGTTTAGACTCAGCACGGGAATTCCCCCACCTATCTTATACTTTTATAAAGTAAAACCTCACTAACTATTTATCTCAAGATGCAAGTTGTCCAACTAGACAATGCACTATCACATACCATTAAAATCCACTAAGCAAAACCCGACTAGTTATTTATCTCAACATACAAACTGTCCAACTAGGCAATGCACTATCACATACAATTAAAATTCACTAGCAAATGCAACTGTAATGTCCATGTCAGCAAGACAGGTAAGCATTTTGTTGAACACGCCATCATATCATGCAATCCCTAATTAGCAATTCCCGCAGCAACACGTGGGGTATGCTTCTAGTTATTTTTATCACAAAGGGAGTGTATACAAGGGTACAAATGTACGAGATGTACATGAAACAGAGTTTGCAAAAGCTCAAAAAGAAAGAGAGCAACAACTAAGGGAGATTCTCTGACAAACTTCTTGAGGGTCCTTCTATGCTGGCCTTGGCCTTGGTGCAAACCAGTCCAAGTTCTTTCTGGAAGGCAGATTTCCAGCTATGTAGATTACAAGGTTTGTTACTAATTTAATTTTAGCAGTGCTCGTTGATTCCTTGTACTTCCAGTGCATGTAAATCGCTACCTTTTTCTCGTTGTTAGATTGACCCCTCTGCTGTTTTTTTCTTTCTCGAATACGCACGAGTGTGCATATCTTTGTATTAGAAGAGAGCAGTTTACGTTACAAGATTGTTGCAAAAATCATGTCGGATCTACATATTGGAAACAAGTAACATTCTGAAGGCGTCTGGGTACAGCAGCGTTGCTAGCCATGAGCAAGCGCTCGCAACCCCTCTGCTCCGGCCTCAATCCAGCGCTCGCCTTCCGCTTTGATGATTTGCATAGTGTCGCTGATGCTTGCCGTCGCGTTTCGGAAACAGCGTGCGTTCCGTTCTTTCTAGAGCTGCCATGACACCAGCGCGAATAGGGTGTCGAGTCCCCGCCGTCGTTCGCCGCTGTACGCAGACCGCAAGCGTCGCCACCATCCTAGTGTCGTCGGTGCTGCTGGTGGTAGATGGCAGCCCAGAGCCAGCAGCACGACAAACCACACCTCCCCTGGAGTAAGAGCAGGTTGCGACGATGTGGTCGATGGACTTTTCCTCCTGGTCGCAGAGGTAGCAGTGTTCTCGTGCGTCAAGCTGATGCCTCCTCCTTCTATCCGCAGTCCAGTGTCTACGTCTGAGAGCCAGCCAGAGGAAGATTTTGACCTTGAGTGGTGCCCAGGTCCTCCAAATCAATGTGTCCGGAGAGAGGAGAGGAGGCAGCATGCAACATCTTGTAGGCTGACTTTGCCGTGTATGTCCCGGCTTCGTTCCAGCGCCAAACGGTTCTGTCAGGCTCGTTGTTCAGCTGGACGGTGTTCATTATGTGCCACAAGTAAAGGTAGTCGATGATGGCCTGGGTGGACAAGCCCCCTTCAATGCATCGCGCCCAAGTTCTGTTCAACAGACCCATCCTGACACGAACTCTTCCGGGTACGAGATGGTAGATGCATGGAGCGATGTTGATGACACACTCGCCGTGTATCCAACGATCCTCCCGGAACAGGGCTTGGTCTCCGTTGCCCACGACCATGAAAGTTGAGGCTTTAGAGAAGGCTTGTACCTGTGGACATGTCCTGATTGGCAGCTGGCTCCATGCTCGATCATGGTCTGTCTGCTGTAACCAGAGCCACCGTGTTTGAAGGGCAAACCCCGTGAGCCATAGGTCATTGATCCCAAGGCCTCCCATCTCGGTTGGTCTGCAGCATGTTTCCCAGGCGACCATGCACTTCCCTTGCACGGATTGGTCCGATCCAGCCCAGAAGAATTTGCGGCAGATGGCATCAGTTTCCTTGCGAGCCCAGGACGGAAGGTTTTCCGCCATCATGGCGTAGATGGGAACGGAGCGAAGAACCGATTTTCCGTGCCACCTGCTCGACCAGGGCCTGGTAGTTTGTCTTCGGTATTGGCCGTGTGCTTAGTGGTAGGCCGAGGTATTTGATGGGAAACGGCTGTACCTGGCAGCCCAAGATGTTCACAATGTCGTCCATGGCCTCCTCTGATAGCTAAATTGTTGCGTCGTTCGGTTAAGATTATGTTCATCGAGTCTGTTAGTCAGGTAGCGGGTTGAGCGTGGCTAGAGGCGTGCTTGGTCCACGACACAGCCCAGTTGGTCCATTGTGTCAGCGCCATAGGATATGCTGCAGCACGTGGTGCGCGTCGCGATGCAACGGCGTAGCGCACGGTGTATGCTATGGCGCGGGAGACTCGGAGGTCTGTTCCGTGATCCCGATCGTGTACTGAATAAATAAGAAACAAAGAGGGGCCGAGAAAGCTGCAACGGTTGGCAGCACATATCATTCTTGTTGTTGCGTTTTACTTGTTGTTGCGTTTTACATCTATCTCACGCTCGCCGCGGTGACCACGTTCACCGCCGCTCCACCATAACCAGCGAAAGCTCCTGGGTATCACCTGGTTCCAACACGTGGCATCAGAGCCGAGGAGAGTCGACGAGGAGGCGCGTGGTGGCGGTGACAAGGTGCTGAAGACGCCGGGTGGAAAGCTCCACCGGATCGGAGAAGGTGCCGTAAACTGCTGTCGACAGTGATGGGAATGTCGGGCGAGAAGGAGTCGATGGACCGGGCGTTCAATCAGGCCGCCGGCAACCTGGTGTGGCCGATGCTCACCCGGACAAACTACCAGGAGTGGTCCTCGCATATCCAATGCAATCTAGAGGGTATGTACCTTTGGGACGCCGTTGAATCTGATAAGCCGGAAAGACGTCGCGATAGACTGGCTCTTGGAGCCATGCTCCGCGGCGTACCGACGGAGATGCACTCGATGCTCCTCAACAAGAAGTCTGTGAAGGAGGCATGGGAGGCGATCAAGACGATGCGTCTTGGTGCAGATCGCGTCAAGGAGGTAAATGCTCAGAAGTTGTTGGGCGAGTTTGAATCGATCTCGTTCAAGGCAGGAGAGTCAATAGATGATTTTGCCATTCGGATCACGAAGTTGGCAACATATTTGAAAGGCCTTGGAGAAACGAGTGTTGATGACTCAAGGGTGGTGAAGAAATTCCTTCGAGTAGTGCCATCACGCTACAATCAGGTAGCGGTGGCAATTGAGATGTTCAGTGACCTGAAAACCCTCACGATCGAGGAGCTTGTGGGGAGGCTGAGGGCGGCGGAGGATAGATTCGAGCCCTCGGTGGAGCAGGTCACGGAGAAGATGTCGAAACTCCTGTTGACTGAAGAAGAATGGGCGGCGAAGCAGAAAGGCCGTGCTGATCCGGACTCGTCGTCGGGGTCTGGAGGAGGCAAGGGTCATGGCCGCTATGTCAAGAAGGAGAGGTCTGGGGCACGCGCCGGCGGCGAAGGGCGTGACTCCGGGACGAGGCTGACGTCGATGGGCACACCTCGACGGAAGGGTAGGTGTCGCAAGTGCAACATCTATGGGCACTTCGAG